GTTTCGTTTATGTCGGTTTTTCCAGATCCTTTGATGCATGATAACAACAGAAACCTGTGAGACCTGCGGATGCCGATGAATATGGAGCTTTAATCTATGCAGGAAGATGGGGAATTCACGGCGTATAGCTTCCATGGAGGTATGTAATGAACAAACCAACTCATAGATGATAACATAAACAAATAGCTTCTCTAATTCCTTCTTGTATTGTGATTTATTCAGACCCAAATCATTAGCGATAACACATGGAAACTAGTGGATGAGATTTGGGATAAAAAAGAGAGATCAAAACAAAATCGGTAATTCAAGTAAGAAATGAGAAACCTCAGATTTTGATGGCAACACACTTCTTTCTAAGTGAACCCAGTTGTAAGTTTCTCAGATTCTCGGTTTCATTGCATCGATATCCGGCGGAAATACAGACATGAATCACTGATTTGTCTCTGTTTTTTCAGTTGGATTTCGCGGTCTCAAGAGCACCCATATGAACAAAATCTTTTTAAGTGAAAGCCTATAGATTGTTATATTATTTTGTCTATAAAACAGAGAGATTTTGTTGAAAGATGTTAATGGAATCCACTAAGTTTATTTTTATTTGTTGAGCAAATGTTAGATGTCATCATTTTTTCTACAAAATTGAATATTTCTCTCCCACCGGTTGCCTCTCGTCTCGTACATAGAAACTGATTGCAATTCCACCGGAAGCCGGAGCCGTACTCCTTTCTCCTTTAATGTGTACAGTTTTAGTTTTCTCTCTTGTGAGCGACTATGAGAATGATTCTCGTTGACTTTGAGAACGTTCCGAGAGAAAAGCCGATTAAGATTTTGGGACACAAAACTGAACATCGAAACATGCTTTCTCCCCATTTACTTGTGTTTTTCAGTTTCTTTGCGTCGGTTCCTAATGGTAACCTTTTGTAGTGCGTGTTTCTTCTCCGGAACCATAGCTGGTATTTTTTAGATATCATTTGTTTATTTTAAAAACAGAATGTGTTATATTCTTGTAGTTTTTATATTGTTAAATAATACTATTCATATAAAATAATATTGTATATATAGTTTTTATATTGTTAAATATTTTCATATGTATTATTTTATAGATATTATTTGTTTATTTTAAAATATTTTTGAAATAAATACTTATTTTACGAAGTAATTCTACTTTTACCAATCGCACTTTAGTTTTAAAATAACTACAGCAAAAATTCTACAGCTATATAAAAACAAATATTTTACAACCAAAACGTTTACAACCCAAATTCTACATCAATTAATTTAGAGCTACATCTCAACCAATCACCCAAATCTACCATTTTTTGCTCATTTACTCACGTATATAATGTCCTAATCAAGAGCATTCATCATTCCGTCAATATCCTTAATTATAGCTCTGTGCACAACTATCCAATTAGCCGACTGCAATTTCACCTATCGAAAGCAACCATTTGGTCATGAAAAAAAAAGCACTAGAGAGATTATTAATGTGGTAGAGAAAAACAAAGATCTTCCAACATGTTTTCGTCTCGTGTTTTCGGAGGCGAACCTTCAAGAGCCGTTTTAAGAACTTCAACATGTTTGTACCCGCACAAACGAAGTATCTCTAACCATTAAAGAAAACTGAAAAGCTTTCAATCTTCTGCGATTTGGTTTCGATCCTCAATGATTTTACCGTCTCCATTATCAGCCTCAACCAAAAAAAAAAACCCGGAAACTGAAATTGTGGAACTGGCCATAGTACAAATAATCACTAGTTTGATCAACTTAGTATGTAACGTTTAATTTAAAGCAATATATTAGAGAATACTAGGATTAACATACTTTTTAAATACGGGGTATATCCATCGTTTTTTAAGGCAAACAAAACGAAATGAAAAATAAATACTTAGAAAAACAAAATTACTCGAAACAACAACAGAAACGAAAAAGCGTATCATCGAACGAGAGCTAGCTCCCAGGACTGATCGCTTGTGCAACAGTTTRTCCTCTCTTTCTTGCATTGCAGGCTTGAGATTCTCATGACCGGGAACAATTTCTCTTCTTGCGCAGACGATAAGTAAGGCGTAAATAATTACCAAGTCGAAAACCCATTCGAAATGCTTTCCTCACACGTTTCGAGTCCTGCAACATGTAACTGAAACACTGAGTATTTCGCGACCAAACAAAAAAACATAAAATAACATGTTTCTCTCTAACTATGAAAACTAGACACCCAAGGGACTTTTTTCACCTTGTCTCTGTGACTGAATCTAGAAAGCATTTTAAAAACAGAAACAACTGAAAAATCT